AATGTCAGCTAGGTTGTCCTGACTCCAGCGGCCTTAGATCGAAGGCCTGGAAGCTGCTACTGAACTATCTACCTCTCGATCATTCTCAGTGGCATAAGTTTTTGACACGTTCAAGGCAAGAGTACTCGAATTTGGCAACCGAATTTGTCATATCTTCTACAAACAACGAGTCCAATTGTGATGATGTTTGCTCCTCATTTCCATTGATCTTTAATGATTGTAGCCCCTTAGCTGCCATCCCGACAGTGATTGGCGGAAGTACTTCGATGACAATGAGGTGCTCCTACAAATTAACAAAGATTGTCGCCGACTTTATCCGGAGTTTGATTTTTTTCGGAGGCCAACTTCCCATCCATTCTACAAAGTTTATTCGCCGTCTGTTGCTGTCAGTGCTTTGAGGAATCGTTTACACACGGATGTCTTCCATGTAATTTTTTTCTTGTATCAATTCATGTCTTTCATGCAGCGTCTTCGGAAATCTTGAGCTTATTGAACCGCCAAGACTGTGTTAACCGTGGTCTTCAGTATGTTTGTTAAGATAGCTGATGAATTGTAGGTAAACAGAAATTAAACCCCACAGATTCCCAGACGGTACAAACAGTGGTCACGACCTCCTCACTTTAGAACAACTTCTCGTGTCATGCCTTTACTAAACTCACCAAAACCTCGAATAAGTGCGTAACGCTAGGAAACTTGTTACATATATGGGGTGATGTGTATGCTCGTGTTTCGATGTTTGATGACTAAAGTGTAAGAAAACGTTTCTTCCTAGGACTAGGTCGACTTTAATAAAAATCCATCAAGCATCGAGCATGCTGGTGCCATCTGCGCATGCGGCATACTTTAGATAGGCCTCAAGCTGCATTACTCATTACGTTCTATCTGATTATTTTCAGTTGGGTTGATAGACTTTCCATTTGTACAGCAACACCGGTCCAGATCCGATCCAACTTATAGACCTCATCAAAACGATAGACTGCTCTGATGTTAAATTAGCAGGACACGCTAAAAAAAAAACGTTATTTAAAAGGTTAGTCAACTAATGAAACAACTGGATGCTCCTCGAAACTGATGACCAAGTTGAAATTCCCCCTTTATATGGCCCTAATGACTCCTTTCACTTACCTAGGATACAGGCTCCTGTTCGTCTGGTCATCAATAGATTCGTGCTTTGCGCAGACAAATATGGTCCGCACACCCTATTTCAAGTGTTTGTCTCGGAAAGGGGAACGTGAAATATTCGAAGAGAATCCAGTGGTCAATATCCCGAGGTTAGCAAGCCTGGCATATTTTAACCTAACCCGACTCCTTGACATTGTTGATTAGAAGGCTAATTGGATAAGACAACACGGTTCACCGAATTGTGGGTCGATTTATAATGACTCCCGAAATTATCTCGATGAAAATTCTTCTCGATGAGATCTCTGACACTTTTCTTGCAATTTGGTTCATGTGCGCTTAGTAATAAGTAAGTGTTATATGCGTTTATGCAAATGCTTTCTCGCCAGGCACTGCTCCCACTCTCCCTTCACTTGTTCGGACTTTTTCATGCCACTGAAATACACAGGGTGTTGGACGAGACAGACGTGTACATAGCAGAATCCCTCTTTTG